TCGATTTTTTGGACGAATATATAGTAATGTTAACTTTCTAAGCAAAGTCCCTTCTCTCACATGTACAACCACTCCTTGCCCCATAGTCGGCTGGCCACCAATGATGTGGAAGGGGAGTGGCACACACGTGCCCCTATCGATCCAAGCCGCTCAAGCCCCTGCTCGTGGCTACTCCCCGACTGAGCTTCCGACCCGCTTGTAGGTCCCCCCATTTTACAATATTTTAGTTTTATTTCTTTTTCTTCATTTATCTCAAAGGTAAGAGTGTAAAAATCATATAAATTTGTATAAAATCACATAATTACCCAAAAAATCACATTAATCAACTAAAAACCACTTTTCACACTTTAACACAAATATAAGTCTATTTATCATGAGTTAAGGCTAAAAATATATTAAAATCACGAATTAAAATCAACAAAGTATCACTAAATGAAGCGTAAATTAAATTGAAAGTAGGAAAACAGAGTTCCGGCGTCGCGACGGCAATGCGTCGACGATGCACCGGAATCCTGAGCGTTCAGGAGGATCGTCGTGCAGTGTCCACGGCCTCAAAGGCTCTCCTTGGACAAAGACGACGTGGGCAATCTCTAGATCTTCTCGCGAAGTCTAGAGATCAATGAAGTGGGTCGTCGAATCGTCTCCGGCGGCTGTCACCCGGCAGAGTGGAAAAACGGCGACTTTGCGGCTCTCCGATGGCTGTCACCCGACGGAGAGGAGCTGGATGGAGGTAGGGCACATGTTAGGGAGCTTCATCCTCAGGTCTGCGTAGCAAGAGGAGGCTCTTCATTGCATCTGGTACGCTCTCAGAAGGTGGTGACTGGTCTCCCGGCAGATCGTCCTCTTCCCGACGACGGCTTGTTCGTCGATCAATCGAACATGATTTACTCGATGGATTTGCGATCCTTTTATCGCGAATCGTTTAGCAATTTTAGTAGTAATGCTTCGCGAATCGCGTTGACGAGATTTTCGCCGATGATCCAGCGATTCTCGTTGCTTAATCCTTCACCGGCGATCTGCAGGAAAATCGCGATAATCAGATAAAAATATATGAATTTTGACTCTGGGAGGATTCGAACCCGCGCTGGTCGCCCCCGCCTCTTCTAAGGAAGGTGTGGGTTTAGTCCCACATCGGTTGTACGCCGAGTTTTCGGGCGAATATATAGTAATGTTAGATTTGTGAGCAAAGTCCCTTCTCTCGCGTGTACGACCACTCCTTACCCCACAGCCGGCTGGCCACCGGTGACGTGGAAGGGGAGTGGCGTACGCATGCCTGTCGGTCCCCAAGCCAAGTCGCTCGAGCCCCTGCTCGCGGCTTACTCCCCGACTGTGCTTCCAACCCGCTTGTGGGCACAGCTAACCGGCGGGTCCCCCCATTTTTGAAATATTTTTATTTTTATTTCTTGTTCTTCATTTATCTCAAAAGTAAGACTGTAAAAATCATATAAAATCACATAATTACCCAAAAATTCACGTTAATCAATTGAAAACCAAAAATCATTCTTTAACACAAAAATCACATAACTTACTTTATGCTTCATTTAGTGATAATTTTTGTGTTTTTATTTTACCAAAATATACTTTGTTCAATTACAATTCTTCTAGCTTTTATAGATTTTAATTTGATTAATTAAATCATCTGAAATCGCTTACATAAGAATCACCAGGTGGAACTCTGTTTCTACCCAATTTGTGTTCACTGGGCGCTGATGTCATCTTAATGTCCACACCCTTATTTCCCTTTTTTCGTGAATTTTAAATATATTTCCTTTTTATTTCCTAGTATAAAATTTAGAGAAACTCGTATTCATTGAGAAAAATTTTGAATAATTACTAGATATTATATTACATCCCTATGATCGACCTGGAAAATTACTGCTATTTTTGGAACTTTTATTGAATTATAATTGATATATTTGTTCAAAAATACTTCTAAATATCCGAAAATTCATATTTTCTAGTTTTATAAATTTAATATTTGCGTGATTTAATTTACAATGACTAAGTCATGTCAAATTTTGGCGCCAAGGATGTATTGCATAATATTTACTATTTTTCTATTTTTCACTTAGAGTACATAAAAAAAATTAATTCTTATTTTATTTTCTTTTTGCTGATTTTTTTTTAAGAAAAAGGGAACGAAAAGAAGCAAGGTAAGGACTATAGCATACTGAAGGAGGGTAACAATTAATAAACTTTTCCCTCAAATTTATTGATTTTTTTTATACATGGTAGAAGATCCTTGCATCCAAAGCTAGAAAATTCTTTCATTATTTTATTCAAGACTAAAAATCTGAAGAAAAAAAATTAATTTTGATGGATCTTGAAGGAAGTATAGGTCAAACTGAGAACAATTCTATGGCCATGAAAAATTATTATATCCCTGATTCATTTCAAAGAGCATCAAATATTAAAGTCCCATTAGCACCCACTATTAAATTCGAAATAAATCTTAGAATTTTTCAAATGCTCTTTAATTTTCATGGATTGCCTTTAGAGGAACTTCATCAGCACTTAGAAAAATTTCATATGGTCTATGATTTAGTTAATCTCTCTCAAGTTACACCAGAAATTATTAAGATGAAATTATTTCCTCATACACTTAGGGACAAAGCTAGCCATTAGTTATCCACATTAGATAGAGAATTAACTAGTTGGAAAGACATAGAACAGGCCTTTCTTTGAAAATTTTATCCCTTAGAAAAAACCCAAAATATGAGAAAACATATATAGAGTTTTTCTCAAAGACCAGAAGAAACTTTACATGAGACATGAGAAACATTCAAAGATGTAATTAGAAAGTGTCCTCATCATGCTATACCCAAGTGGCAGTTCAATAGAATTTTTTATGATGGATTATTAGAACAACATAGAAATATGGTTGATTCTATATGTGGAGGAACTTTTATGGAGAAAACCCCTATTGAGATTTACAATCTTTATGAGAATTTAAGTGAAAATTCTAGAGATCAAGCCTCTTTTGAATTATATGACAATGATAAGAAGAGAAGAATTTATGAATTGCATCATGATGATGATTCTAAACTTAGAAATAAGGTTAATTAGATTAATCAAATATTAAAAAAACTTGATTTACTTATTGACAATATTAGAAAGCTTTTTAACCCTCAATTTAATTCAAATAGTACATGTCCTATGTATGGTGAGAATGATTATTTTGGATTTTAATGTTATAATTTAGATCAATCATTTCACCCTAAGCAAGAACAAGTGCAAGTAGCTCATAGTTTTAATAGAAATAGGGAACCTTTTTCAAATTCTTATAATCCTAATTAGAGGAATAATTTTTCATAGAGAGATCCAAATAATATTAAAAATTCAAGAGCACTTAGACCCAATTCAAACTCTGAATTTCGTCTAAAACAAGAAAATAGATTTCAGAAAAATCAGCTCTCTCAAATCCAACTTGATACTATAGAAATGATGCAGCAAATGAGTCAAATGATGCAACAAACTATGAATCAAATGATGCAGCACCAGAAACAAATTATAGAGGCCCTTGGGAATAAGAGAGAAGAGGGACAGCTACCTAGTCAGCCCATAGAAAATCTAAAGAATCGCCCAACAATAGGATTTCAGTAAGGGGAGTCTAGTAGCATGAATCTAGGAAAAAACCCACGAAATGAAAATGTTAGGACAGTGAATGCAATAAGGAGTAGTAAGATTTTACCTGATCCTTATCCCCAAACATTAGAAGAAAAAGGAAACGTGGACAACCCAAAACAAAATCAAATAGGAGTAGAAGACGATTTTATAGATTCTACTAAGAAAATTTCAAAAGAGAAGACAATCATTCCATTTCCTAAAGTTTTAGAGCCTAGACAAAAAAAGAAAAAGGAACACAATGAAGAAATAAAGAAAATTTTACAAGATGTGCAAATTAATTTTCCTTTACTCACTACCATTGAACATATTCTTGAATATGCTAGAGTTTTGAAAGAAATGTGTACACCAAAAAGGGCGCCTAGAGTAGAAAAATTGTCTATGCATGCTAGTGCATTATTATTAAATCAATTACCATATAAACTGAGAGATACAGGTGCCCCTTTAATTTCGTGTGATAATAGTAGATCTATTTTTCAGAATGCATTACTTGACACTGGTGCTAGTATTAATTTATTACTTGCAAGTATTTGTGATAAATTTAATATTTTTGATCTTAAACTTTCTACTGTTACCTTATAATTTGCTGATAGATCAATAAAATATCTTAAAGATATTTAAGAAAATGTGATAGTAACAATTAAAGGGTGTAAATTTCTAGCTGATTTTGTAGTGCTGGAAATGAATTTTAATGGATAGTTTTATGATACACCAATGATGTGACTCAGTCGTTGTATATTAAATCACGCAAATATAAAATTTATAAAACTAGAAAATATGAATTTTTGGATATTTAGAAGTATTTCTAAATAAATATATCAATTATAATTCAATAAAAATTCCAAAAATAGCGGTAATTTTCCAAGTCGATCATAGGGATGTAATATAATATCTGGTAATTATTCAGAATTTTTCTCAATGAATATAATTTTCTTACAAATTTTTTACTAGAAAATAAAAAGGAAATATATTTAAAATTCTCAAAAAAAAGGAAATAAGGGTGCGGATGTCAGGATGACATCAGCACCTGGCGAACGCGAATCAGGCAGAAATAGAGTTTTGCTCGGTGATTCTTATGTAAGGAATTACAGATGACTTAATTAATCAAATTAAGATCTGTAAAAGCCGAAAGAATCATAATTGAACGAAGTATAGTTTGGTAAATTAAAATCACACAAAGTATCACTAAATGAAGCGTAAATTAAATTGAAAGCAGGAAAACAAAGTTCTGGCATCGCGACAGCGATGCGTCGGCGATGCACGAAAATCCTAAGCGTTCGAGAGGATCGTCATACAGTGTCCACAGCCTCGAAGGCTCTCCTTGGACAAAGACGATGTGGGCAATCTCTAAATCTTCTCAAGAAGTCTAGAGATGAATGAAGTGGGTCGTTAAAACGTCTCCAGGGGCTGTCACCCGGCGGAGCGGAAAAATGGCAACTTTACGGCTCTCCGGCGGCTGTCACTCGACGGAGAAGAGCTGGATGGAGGTGGGGCGCATGTTAGGGAGCTTCATCCTCAGGTCTGCACAGCAAGAGGAGGCGCTTCATCGCATCTGGTACGCTCTCAAGAGGTGGCGACTGGTCTCCCAGCAGATCATCCTCTTCCTGACGACGGCTTGTTCGTCGATCAATTGGAGATCATTTACTCGATGGATTCGCGATCCTTTTATCGCGAATTGTTCAATAATTTTAGTAGCAATGCTCCGTGAATCGCATTGATAAATTTTTGCCGATGATCCAGCGATTCTCGTTGCTTAATCCTTCATCAGTGATCTGTAGAAAAGTCACGATAATTAGATAAAAATATATGAATTTTGACTCTAGAAGGATTCGAACCCACGCCGGTCGCCCACCTGTGAGGAAGGTGTGACGCGGGTTTAGTCCCACATCGGTTGTTGACATGACTCAATCGTTGTATATTAAATCACACAAAAATAAAATTTATAAAACTAGAAAATACGAATTTTCGGATATTTAGAAGTATTTCTAAATAAATATATAAATTATAATTCAATAAAAATTCCAAAAATAGTAGTAATTTTCCAGGTCAATCACAGGGATGTAATATAATATCTGGTAATTATTCAGAATTTTTCTCAATGAATACGATTTTCTTACGAATTTTATACTAGGAAATAAAAATGAAATATATTTAAAATTCACGAAAAAAAGGAAATAAGGGTGCGGGCATCAGGATGACGTCAGCGCCCTGCGAATGCAAATCAGGCAGAAACAGAGTTCCGCTCGGTGATTCTTACGTAAGTGATTACAGATGACTTAATTAATCAAATTAAGATCAGTAAAAGCCAGAAAAATCATATTTGAACGAAGTATAGTTTGGTAAATTAAAATCACACAAAGTATCACTAAATGAAGCGTAAATTAAATTGAAAGCAGGAAAACAGAGTTCCGGCGTCGCGACGGCAATGCGTTGGCGATGCACCGGAATCTTGAGCGTTCGGGAGGATCGTCATGTAGTGTCCACGGCCTCGAAGGCTCTCCTTGGACAAAGACAATGTGGGCAATCTCTAGATCTTCTCGCGAAGTCTAGAGATCAATGAAGTGGGTCGTCGAATCGTCTCCGGCGGCTGTCACCCGGTGGAGCGGAAAAACAGCGACTTTGCAGCTCTTCGGCGGCTGTCACCTGACGGAGAGGTGCTGGATGGAGGTAGGGCGCATGTCAGGGAGCTTCATCCTCAGGTCCGCGCAGCAAGAGGAGGCTCTTCATCGCATCTGGTACGCTCTCAAGAGGTGGCGACTGGTCTCCCGGCGGATCATCCTCTTCTCAATGACGGCTTGTTCGTCGATCAATCGGAGATGATTTACTCGATGGATTCGCGATCCTTTTATCGCGAATCGTTCAGCAATTTTAGTAGCAATGCTCCGCAAATCGTGTTGACGAGATTTTCGCCGATGATCCAGCGATTCTCGTTGCTTAATCCTTCACTAGCAATCTGTAGGAAAGTCGTGATAATCAGATAAAAATATATGAATTTTGACTCTGGGAGGATTCGAACCCGCGCCGGTTGCCCGCCTCTTCTGAGGAAGGTGTGACGGGGGTTTACTCCCACATCGGTTGTATGCCGATTTTTCGGACGAATATATAGTAATGCTAGCTTTGTGAGCAAAGTCCCTTCTCGCACGTGTATGACCACTCCTTGCCCCACAGCCGGCTGGCCACCGGTGACGTGGAGGGGGAGTGGCGTACGTGTGCCCTGTCGGTCCCCAAGCCAAGCCACTCGAGCCCCTGCTCGTAGCTTACTCCCCGACTGTGCTTCCGACCTACTTGCGGGCTCGGCTGGCCGGTGGGTCCCCCCATTTTTGCAATATTTTTATTTTTATTTCTTGTTCTTCATTTATCTCAAAAGTAAGACTGTAAAAATCGTATAAAATCACATAATTATCCAAAAATTCACGTTAATCAATTGAAAACCAAAAATCATTCTTTAACACAAATATAAGTCTATTTATCATGAGTTAAGGCTAAAACTATATTATTTACTAATTATTAACTCATGATAATGAAGACTTATCAGTTGTGCGCCGATTTTTCAGGCGAATATATAGTAATGTTAACTTTGCAAGCAAAGTCCCTTCTCTTGCGTGTAGACCACTCCTTGCCTCACAGCCAGTTGGCCACCAGTGATGTGAAAGGAGAGTGCGCACATGTGCCCCTATCGGTCCAAGCTAAGTCACTCGAGCCCCTACTCGCAGCTACTCTCCGACTGTGCTTCCGACCCCCTCCCGGGCCTGGCTGGCCGGTGGGTCCCCCCCCATTTTGCAATATTTTTATTTTTATTTCTTGTTCTTCATTTATCTCAAAGGTAAGACTGTAAAAATCGTATAAAATCACATAATTACCCAAAAATTTATGTTAATCAATTGAAAACCAAAAATCATTCTTTAACACAAATATAAGTCTATTTATCATGATTTAAGGCTAAAACTATATTATTTACTAATTATTAACTTATGATAATGAAGACTTATCAACCAATCATCCTAGGAAGACCATTTTTGCATACAGTAAAGATGAATATTGATTTTCGTACAAGTATTGCGAAAATTTCATGTGGAGATCAATCAATAGAAATTAAAATTTTTGAGGTACCAAATGATCTTAACAAATCACAAGTATATAATTGTCATACCATAGATCTTCTAGATGATTTTGATGATTCAGATGTTATTGTTGACTGTGTGCTGGAAGAATTAGAGGAAATAGAGAATATAAATTTGAGAGAAAAGAAAGAGAAAGATCATCTGAATTTAGAGTTGAAACCTCTTCCCTCTAGTTTAAAATATATGTTTTTGGAGGAAAATAATTCATTTTCTATTATTATTGCAACTGATTTGAGTGATGAACAGGAAGAAAAATTATTAGATGTACTTCAAAAAAATAAGAAGGCTATAGGCTAGAAAATAGACGATCTAAGAGGCATTGATATGAGTGTATGCATGCATAATATATATCTAGAGGAGGGGGCTAGAACTAGTAGGGAACCACAATGAAGATTAAATCCTAACATAATGGAAATTGTAAAAAAAGAAATTTTAAAGTTGTTGGCTACTGATATTATTTATCTTATTTCAGATAGCCAATGGGTTAGTCCTACAAAAGTAGTGCCAAAAAATCAGGGATCACGGTTATAAAAAACAAAAATGAGGATGAAATACAAACAAGATTAACTACCAGTTGGAGGGTTTGTATTGATTATAGAAAATTAAATTCAATTACTAGAAAAGATCATTTTCCCCTACCATTTACTGATCAAATTCTAGAAAAATTAGCTAGAAAAAACTTTTTTTATTTTCTAGATGGATACTCTAGTTATAATCAAATTTATATAAACCCTTTAGATCAAGAAAAAATAACTTTCACTTGTCCATTTGGTACTTTTTCTTTTAAATGCATGCCTTTTGACCAGTGTAATGCTCTAGCCACATTTCAAAGATGTATACTATCTATTTTTTTTGATATGATTAGAAAATGTATGAAAATTTTTATGGACGATTTTTCTATTTTTGGTGAATCATTTGATGAATACTTAAATCATTTACAACATGTACTTGAGAAATACATAGAGAAAAAATTATTTTTGAGTTAGAAGAAATCACATTTTATGGTTAGAGAGGGAGTTGTGTTGGGTCATATTGTGAGTGAAAGGGGTTTAGACGTGGATAGAGTAAAAATTAATATTATATCTAAAATGAAACCTCCAAATTCAATAAAACAGATTAAATCTTTCTTGGGTCATGTAGGTTATTACAGAAAATTTATTCAAGATTTTTCAAAAATTTATAAACCTCTCACCATGCTATTATCTAAAGATGTGCCTTTTAATTTTGATGAGAAATGTTTTGAATCTTTTTCCAAAATAAAAAGATTACTTACTAAGGCACCTATTTTACAAACTCCTGATTGGTCCCTCCCTTTTGAAATAATGTATGATGCATCAAATTATGCAGTGGGGGCTGTTTTAGGACAAACAAAAGAATCAAAACCCATAGTAATTTCATATGCTAGTAAAACTATATCTGATGCTCAATTAAATTATATTACGACTGAAAAAGAGTTGTTAACTGTAGTATTTTCATTAGAAAGGTTTAGATCATATATTTTGGGAGCTAAAATTATTATTTATATGAATTTTGTAGCATTAAAATATTTGTTAAATAAGAAAGATGCAAAGCCACATTTATTAAGATGGATTTTATTGTTGCAAGAATTTGACTTAGAAATAGAAGATAAAAAAGATTTTGAGAATATTGTTGCTGACCATCTTTCTAGATTAAGTGATACAAGAATAAATGTAGCACCTTTACAAGATGCATTTTTAGATGAACAATTGATGGCAGCTCAACATCAACCATCACCATGGTATGCACATATTGTTAATTTTCTAGTTTCTAGAAAAACTCTAGAATAGTGGGATAAGAACTGAAAACATCATTTCTTTTCTAAGATTAGAAATTATTTTTGGGATGATCCTAATTTATATTACTTGGGCAATGATCAAATTTTAAGGAGATGTGTTCCTGAAGAAGAATACTATAGAATTATTAACATGTGCCATTCATCTAATTGTGGAGGACATTTCTCTAGATGAAAAACAGCTGTAAAAATTTTTCAGTGTGGTTTTTATTGGCCTACAATCATTAGAGATTCTATAGAATTTAGTAGAACATGTATTTCATGCCAATCTATAAGTAACATGAGTAAAAAAGATGAAATACCCATAAGTAACATGTTAGTAGTCGAAATTTTTGATGTATTGGAAATAGATTTCATGGGTCCCTTCCCATCAGCTGGAAAATATGAATATATTTTGCTTGCTGTTGATTATGTGTCAAAGTGGGTGGAAGCTATTCCTACTAGAACTAATGATCATAAAATCGTGATGAAATTTGTGCAGAAAAATAATTTTTCGAGATTTGGATGTCCTAGAGTGATTATTAGTGATGGAAGAACATATTTTACAAATAAACATTTCAAGAAACTGTTGAAAAAGAATAGAGTACACTATAGAGTAGCCACTCCATATCATCCCCAAACAAATGAGTAAGCTGAAATAGCAAATAAGGAAATTCAGAGAATTTTGAGAAAAATAGTTAGACTAGATAGGAAAGATTGGCCCACGAAATTACAAGATGCATTATAGGCTTATAGAACAACTTATAAAAATCCCATAGGTATGTTCCCATTTCGTCTCATTTTTGGAAAGCCATGTCATCTTCTTGTGGAAATAGAACATAAAGCATTATGGGCTATAAAAAATTTATGTATCGATGAAAAAACAGCTGGTGGGCATAGAATTTTTCAGCTACATGAACTAGAGGAGTTGAGGAATGAAGCTTATGAAAATCATAGAATATATAAAGAAAAAACTAAAACTTTTCATGATAAATACATTAGCAGAAAAAAAATTGATGTTGGACAAAAAGTTTGGTTATATGATTCTAGGCTGAAATTATTCCTAGGAAAATTAAAATTAAAATGAAAAGGGCCTTATGTGGTGAAAGAGACATATGATCATGGGGCTGTAATGATTAAAGATCCTAAAAGTGATCATAACTTTATGGTAAATGGACAGTGGCTTAAACATTACATAGAACATGAACGCCTTGCAGAAAAAAAAAAATTATTATTAAAAAAAATTCAAGAGTAAGATCAAGGAGTCCAACTAGAGACATTAACTTCAGTGCTGCATGAGAGGCAACCCATGGTTTTTATTTCATTTTGTTTGATTTTTTTTAAGCTCTATTTTTCTTAGAATTTTGCAGTACTTATTTCTATATTTGTTGTTTTGAAAAAGTGTAGGAGGAAGTGTGTAAGACGAAGTAAAAAATTAAAAATGAGGTTGAGGTGATGTCTTTCGTAGCTTTATCATTTATGACAATATTTTTAATGCTAAACTTTACATATATACATGCTTCACTTGAAAATTATATTTTCTGCATATTCTGTTTTGATTTTTCTATGTCATTGAGGAGAATGTCATTTTTAAGTTGAGGGGTGAAGTATTCATTAAGAACATTTTTTGAAAATTTTATGTTGTAGGACGATTAAGAACATGTGTTTGCATTTTACTCAACTTAGAACAGCAACTAAAAAAATAAAAAATAAAATAAAATTCGGAAAAACTGC